CCCTGTCTCTACAAAAAAGCTACTCTGGAGGCCGAGGCAGGAGGATTTCTTGAGCCCGAGGTTGAGGCTGCAGTGAGCCAAGACTGTGCCACTGCACTCCAGCCTGGGTGACAAGACTCCGTCTCAATTAGAAAAAAAAAAAAAAAAGAAATTTCTGAAGTGATAGTAATGTTCTATGTCTCAATAGCAATTTGGGATACAAAGGTATAGACATTTATTATTATTAAAACTTGGAAATTTAAACACAAGCACATAAGGTTTATACATTTCATTGTATACATATTTTACTCCAAAAGAAAAAAGTCAACAAATATTTAACCTAGTCAATGATATACATGCTGAGTTATTTAGGCAGAAGTCTACTACTGATGTCTACAGTTTACTTTTAAATGCGTCCAAAAAAAAAAAACAAAAACAGGGATTGACGAATACTTAGAGAAAGGTACAGACATGTGATAAGCCAACTATAGTGAAATGTTAGTGGTAGTCTACATGATAGGTATATAGTGTTCACTATAAAGTTTTTCAACTTTGCTATATGTTTGCAAATTTTCACAATAATATATTGGGGAAATGTCTAGAAATGTGATGCTACCCTAGGTCAGCAGGAACTGTGAAAGATTAGACCTGTATTCTGGTTACCAGATGCTTAGAGCCTTTTTTTTTTTTTTTTGCGGGGGGTGGTAGAGTCTCACTCTGTCACCCAGACTGGAGTGCAATGGTGTGATCTCAGCTCACTGCAACCCCCATCTCCCGGGTTTAAGTGATTCCCCTGCCTCAGCTTCCCAAGTAGCTGGATTACAGTCACCTGCCAGCATGCCCAGCTAATTTTTTGTATTTTTTGTAGAAACAGGGTTTCACTAGGTTGGTAGGGCCGGTCTCGAACTTGATCCACCCGCCTCGGCCTCCCAAAGTGCTGGGATTACAGGCATGAGCCACCACATCTGGCCTGCTAGAGCCTTTAAATATACTTGATATAATTTCTTGATTTCTGATCTCTTGAGGTTTGGTTTACTTAAATCTAATGATCTCATCTCCCTTCTACTTTCACTTTCTGGTTTATTTAGTAATTTGTTCATTCATTTTCAAATATTTACCTTTCCCTACTAGGAACCAGGCCCTGTGTAGGTGCTGGGGATACAGTTTTGCTTCTGCTCCCCTGGAGCTTCCATTGTGGCTTATTCCCAGTAACTAGCACTTCCACCTCCCTTAGTTCTATCAGGAATGCTGGTTCCTACATCTTTGAGGCTACGACAGACAGGACCATTTTATCCATTGAATAGTATAGACCCCACACCAAGGGTCTGGGAGCTTTTTAGGGTTCTATGAAAAATGTTTTATGTATGAAAAAGAGAATCTCCAATTTACAAAAGAAAATCGCAAAATCCTATACATTGCCAAGACTGTCAAAATGAACTCCTAGTCTTTTTGATTCCCTCTTTTTTTATGACTCTGAATACCTTAGGACTGCAAGCATTTCTGGCCCCAGTGGCAAATCTAGCCCTAATATAGATGCTGTATGGGAGTAAGATACTCCAATAGTCAGATGGATGCCTAAGCTATCATAGCCTAATGACATTGCAACTTCATTCTTTGAACTTCTTATGCTGATCCGTTGTTCAGCAGTCCACCTTCTGATTCCCATGTAGGTCTGCAGTATTTCTTTGGGTATTTCTAGTCTCTGTAACAGTGCTTTCTCAGGTAAACCCATAAAATAGCTTGTGATTAAGAGCTGTCACACCACATGTCTAGAATTTGAGAAGGAAATAAGCCAATCCAGGTGCGGTGGCTCATGCCTGCAATCCCAGTACTTTCAGAGGCTGAGGTGGATGGATCACCTGAAGTCAGGAGTTCGAGACCAGCCTGACTCACCTGATGAAACCCTGTCTCTACTAAAAAAAAAAAAAAAAAAAAAAAAATTCAAAAAGAAACAAACAGCGAAACACTGCAATCTGTTTAAACTTAGGGACCCAGAAGAACTGGGGAATTGCTTAAACCCAGGAGGCAGAGTTACAGTGAGCCGAGGATGGCTACTACACTAGGCTGTAGGCGACAGTGTGAGGCTCCATCTCAAAAAAAAACAGGCCAATCATGTCTTGTTTAGTCCCTTACTTATTATACATTTCTCGGTGATGTAAATTAATAAATTGCTAATTTAAGAGGACAATGAGAATAATCTTTTATCTTTCTCATATCCGTGCCTTTTGGTTTTTAAACTTAGTTCTGGTTGATTCAGGAGCGCGTGGAAGCCTTGTTTTATCTTATTCTTGGCATCCAGGTTCTAACCCCCTACTGTTCTCCCATTACTGACCCATCCCTTGCGGGCCTGTCTTAACAAGCTGAACCTCTAAAAAAAAAAAAAAAAAAAAAAAATTAGCTGGGCGTGGTGGCAGGCGCCTGTAATCCTAGCTTGGGAGACTGAGGCAGGGGAATTGCTTAAACCCAGGAGGCAGAGGTTACAGTGAGCCGAGATCGCGCCACTGCACACTAGGCTGGGCGACAGTGTGAGGCTCCATCTCAAAAAAAAAAGAAAAAAAAAAAAGGCCAATCATGTCAACATTTTGGTCCCTTATGGCCATACATTTCTCAGTGTAAATTAAATTGCTAATTTAAGAGGGACAATGAATATTCTTGCATATCTTCTCATCCGTACCTTTAGTTTTAAACTTAGTTCTAGTTGATTCAGGCCTTGTGAAGCCTTGTTTTATCTTATTCTTGGCATCCAGGTTCTAACCCCTACTGTTCTCCCATTACTGACCATCCCTTGCCAGGCCTGTCTTAACAGCTGAACCCTGGGCTTCTTAACAGCTGAACCCTGGGCTTCTGTTTCTCCTTTTTTTTGTTTTTTATTTTTATTTTTATTTTGAGATGGAGCCTGGCTCTTGTTACCCAGGCTGGAGTGCAATGGCGCGATCTTGGCTCACTGCAACCTCTGCCTCCCAGGTTCAAGCGATTCTCCTGCCTCAGCCTCCCGAGTACCTGGGATTACAGGCATGTGCCACCACACCTGGCTAATTTTATACTTTCAGTAGAGACTGGATTTCTCCATGTTGGTCAGGCTGGTCTCGAACTCCTGACCTCAGGTGATCTGTCTGCCTTGGGGAGGCCACTGCACCCGGCCTGCTTCTCCATCTTTAACTGTGTTGTTTAGGCCCTTAGGCCCCATCAACTCAATCCCCAGGTTCTTTGGGCCACAATGATGCCCCTGAGGTTTGTGCTCCCTGAATGCCCCAGAGCTGGAAACGAGGCAGCTTTTGCACATAAAATTCGTTTATTATAAAGGTTTCCTACTAATACATACTAACAGGTATGAGATATTGATTTTAAAAACTTTGTTTTAACCAAAGAAAATAACAGAACAATGTCTTATAAGCCAATATTTAAAGAAAACTGAGAGCATTATGAAATATTTTATTTTTATTGGTTGGTAATTATATCTGGATGGCTCATGAAATTACTGTAACATCCTTGATTTTATTGTTTCCTCAGGAATTTCTTCTCTATTTTAAATAAAACATGTTTTATGCACTGAGTGCATTTAGTATCTCCGCTTTGTTAAACAATTACAACACTGTACATACACAGAGCTATGTAATGTGCCTATTTTAACTATAGATTAGCTTCCTAGGAAGAACAGTGTTGGTATCCTTTTCCATTTAGAGTCAAAAGGAGTCTGATGGCAGTTCTTTACAGTGACTGTTGAGATGACTAAATCTTCCTGAGCCAAGTCTTCACATCTCTATTTTGTTGTTTTAATTTGAATAACTATGAAAAGATTGATTTTTTTTTTTAAGGACAGGGTCTCACTCTGTCACCCAGGCTGGTGTGCAGTGGTGCGATCATGGCCCACTGCAGCCTCTATCTCCCTGGCTCAGGTGATCCTCCTACCTTAGCCTCCCAGGTAGCTGGGACTATAGGCTCCCACCACCACCCCCGGCTAATTTTTGTATTTTTTGTTAATCCTCCCACCTTGGCCTCCCAAAGTGTTAGGATTACAGGCGTGAGCCACTGTGCCCAGCCAAAAAAGACTGAAATCTTTTATTTCTGATAGAGACCTCAAAGAGCTCACTGCATAGGACCGACCCCAGGTTGCCTTTATATTTCCTGCATTTTTCTTTTGTTGGTCTTCAGGGAAGCTGTATAATATAAATGAATGAATGAATGTGTTTGTGTGTGTGTGTGTGTATGCACACATATATCTCCATTCAAAAGCTATAGCACATGTATGTTTTTGTGTATGTGTATATATGTGCGTGTATATAAGTATATATGCACACACATATACACACACACAAAGCTATAGAAAACATACATCTTGTGACTAAAATTCCCTGAACTACCAGTAACTCCAGAAATTCTATTCTGGAAAACAATGGGTAACATCTAATTCATTATCTTAGAATTATCACAAAAGGAATATGAAAATGTGGTTTCTAGTGCAGTGCAGTTAAGATAGGTATTCTTGTAGGCCATGGTTCCAAGAAATTTGTTTGACAACTGTATTGAGTAGTATATTTCTCCTCTTCCTTTATTTTTTTCCCTTACCTCTTTTGAAAAAAAAAAAAAGAAAATTGTGTTCCTCTTTCAAGTTCTTTTTCTCTCCTGGCTTATATAGTATGTTACCAGCAGAACTTTCTCTAAAATGAAAGGAAGTCATTGCTAAGAAGAGACAAAAAGTTAACAGGATTAAAGGAATGAAAAGGCACATGGAATTGCTGGGTGTGTCCAGAATCTGAGAAGATTTGAAAAGAGAAGCAGAAAGAATTTTTGTATTTTAGAAGTTGAGGGGCCCTCCTGGCCTAGTTTGAAAAACACAATCAGATACAGTTTGAAAAAAGTCCAACAAGATCTAGTGGGAAGATAAGCTACCATCTTGTTACAAAAAGTGCCACGGGCCTTGGCTGTATATTTTAAATGAACTTCTTAATTTCATATCAAAATGCATAGATACCTCCTGACCCCTGTTCTTGCCCTCCACCATTTCCCTGTTAAATCCTGACCTTTCTCTGTTGCTCTTCCCGTTTCCACCCTGGAGGTCTGGCTGCCAGGACTATTCTCAGGTTGCCTGGGTCTCCACAGTAGCACCCATTAGCCATGCTGCTTCTGGGCAGGCAATCTGTTTCTGTGCAAAGAGAAAATGCTAGGGTGAGTCACCAGTCCTTCTTTCCTAACAAAAGAGCATTGTACTGTGCTGTTTGATTTCGGCTCTTGTGTGCAACTTGTGATTGCAAACTAATGGGGACATGAGGCACAGCTCCAGTGACACACCTCTCAAGTTGCATTATAATGATCTGATTGGGATGTGCCCCATTAGACTGTGAGATCCTTTAAGGCTAGGATGTTTTTATTTTTGTGTTCCCAGCCCTAAGCACACTGTGCCTAGCTCAGGGTAAGCACTAAACAAATGTTTCTTGATGAGAATGCTACAGGAGGATGGGAAGGGTTGTGCTGTACACCAAGAGTGAAAGAGCTACTCTTTAAGAAACAGACTCACCTTCATGTGGCCTGCAGAGGGCGCTCTTACATCATAGCTATACCGTGCATCCTTTGTCCATCACTGGTTTCCTGGAGCGGTACCTTTTCGGTAAAACCACAGGTGTGAGGCTTTGGAAATTTAGACTTAAACCTGCCCAAACACATTAGAATATCATCAGTTGCACAGAACAAATCCACATTACAGTTATTCCAAAAGGACAAGAACATTCCAGGATTTGCTTAAAGAATACTAAGCCATGACATCTCAGAAAGTCTAACCTAAAGAAGAAAAGTTGCCTGGTTAGTCTTCTGGGAAATATTAGTAATTATTAAATTTGGAAAACTCCTTACACTCACTTGATGAGCCAGTTCATCTAATCCAACTACCTCATTTCTGAGATGAGGAAACTGAAGTTTATAAAATTCCTCAAGGTGATGTATCTACAGAAAAATTATACTCTCAATTCAGGCTTTAGATGTGTTGAAAACATGTGGCAAGGTGTCCATTTGGGAAAAAATGCACCTAGAGCCTTCTCTCTCTCTCTCTCCCTCTCCTTATTTAAATAGATTTAAAAATAAAAATATGACCAGGCATGGCAACTCATGCCTGTAATCCCAGCACTTTGGGAGGCCAAAGTGTGAGGAATGCTTGAACCCAGGAGTTCGAGACCAGCCTGGGCAACATAGCGAGACCCAGTTTCTACAAAAAATTAAAAATTAGCCAGGTATAGTGGCATGTGCCTATAGTCCCAGCTACTCAGAAGCCTGAGGTGGGAAGATAGCTTGAGCCTAGGAGGTCAAGGCTGTAATGAGCTGTGATCACACCACTGGACTCCAGCCTGGGCAACAGAATGAGATCCTGTAAAAAAAAAAAAAAAAAAAAAAAAGTACTGTAGTAACTGCTGAATAAAATACATAAGACTTTGGAAAGACACTATTTTAATGGTGAATCTGGACAGCACTCCAAAGATATCTTTTAAAAGGTTGGAAGTAGGCTTTTAACATGTTATGGGGGGGATCAACTGTGTAATAAATAATACAGAAGTAAAAAGTATTGGTTAGTCAAACTGACCATCAAATTGAGAGCCAAAAAGCCATTAAGTTAGGATTCTGGACAAGGCTCTGATTGCTACAGTTCAGAAAAGTTATTTGACATCTTTTTCACATAGTTAAGCTTAAAAAACAAACGCAAACTCAAATCCCCAAACCCTCAAAGCATCAAGTGCTTAAAACATTTATAATATACCTTCCGCATCAACCCTCACCTCCTCCTTGTTTCTGAGAAACCATGGCCCTCCTCCAGGCTGGTTCTTGATCAGCACCCCCCTCCCTTCCCTGGGTGCCTCCCATTTGTAGGCAGCCATTACTGGGCTGTATTCTGGTTGTGTTGAGGCTGGCAGGAAAGGGAAACAAGGATAGCATGTTCATGTGGTGTGAGTGGTCTCAGTTTCTAGGCAAGCTGGGGGAAAGGGCAGTCCTGTGGCCCTGTGAGAGGCCCACTCAGACCCTGGCCCAGCTCTAAGGGCTGAAGCAGTTCTGAGGGATAGCACTTCACTTCCATCCGTATTAGAGGCCCTACCTGGGGAGAAGAACAGCAGAAAAGCAGCCCTCAAAGAAATGCTACCATGGGACATGGCCTCAAGAGAGGAGCCTCAGCCCAAGATGAGATGGAGGGTGGCCTTGAAGAAAAGAGGCCCTAGCTTCAGGGGCACGGGGGAAAACAGATGAGGTGTTGGAAGGAAGCCACTCAGGATTCTTTGGAAAGTGAGGACAGTGAAGCTGGGATTAAGGACCCTTAAACAGGGCAAATTACAGGAATTCTCCCCAGCCAATGGGAAGGGAAGGGCCTGAGCATTTTCCTGGCCTCTCAAATTTGAAGATGCCTGGGGATCACTGGGGAATCTTGTTGAAATGCAGAGTCTGATCCAGTAAGTCTAGAATCCTGCCTCAGATTCTGGATTCCTACCAAGTTCCCTGGTGAGGCTGCAGGTTCTTAGGCCCCACTTTCAGAAGCAAGAGTGTCTTCTAGACTTCAGAATAGAGAAAGTAGAACAATAGAGACCATGTATCAGAGAGTCACCCATGGGCAAATTCGTTGGGAGGAAGTCCTAGCTCCAGTTCAAATTCAAGGTTGTCTTTGCAGATTCCCAGGTACTAAAAGGATTTTAGGAGTTCAGTTATTGGGCAAGGAGAGGAAAGGATCCCAGATTTAAGGACCCCCTCATCAATATCTCTTGGGGCTGGGAAGAAGAGTGGCTGGTTTTCTATTAGGTAGGGGGCCCAGATCATCAATAATCAGGGCGATCTGGTGAGGCAGAAAATGATGCCAGCAAGAAAGACCTTGGAGGGCCTGGAGGGCCTGCTGAATTCTCCATAGGCAGCTTTTCACATGCTACCTGAAGGCAGCCACTGGGAGGTTTTGAAAGAAGATACTAGGTTACTCCACACTAGCACTTGCCAAACTAACCTGGTGAGAGAAGCTGCTAATTGTAATAGAGGCAGAATGTTATCTGTACTATTTAAAACAGTTTTCCAGGGGGAAATGAGGACAGGCCAATGCAGCCAGAAAGCACTGGGTGTTGGCTTTGCAGAAAGCTTAGTTATACTTAGGAACAGGGTTGCCAGGTGTCCTGTTTTGAACTGGACAGCATGGTATTTTAGCTTCTAGTGTGTGAAAATGCAGTAAATGCTTGTTTTTTTAGAAAATCATTATTGCGGCCGGGCACGGTGGCTCACGCCTGCAATCCCAGCACTTCAGGAGGCCAAGGTGGGTGGATCACCTGAGGTCAGGAGTTCCAGACCAGCCTGACCAACATGGAGAACCCCATCTCTACTAAAAATACAAAAATAAAAAATAAAAAAATTAGCCAGGAGTGGCGGCGCATGCCTGTAATCCCAGCTACTCAGGAGGCTGAGGCAGGAGAATCGCTTGAACCCAGGACATGGAGGTTGTGGTGAGCTGAGATCCCGCCATTGCACTCCAGCCTGGGCAACAAGTACGAAACTCCATCTCAAAAAAAAAAAAAAATCATTATGGCCAGGCGTGGTGGCTCATGCCTGTAATCCTGGCACTTTGGGAGGCCGAGGTGGGTGGATCATGAGGTCAAGAAATCGAGACCATCCTGTCCAACGTGGTGAAACCCTGTCTCTACTAAAAACACAGAAATTAGCTGGGCATGGTGCCGCTGTGCCTGCAGTCCCAGCTACTGGGGAGGCTGAGACAGGAGAATTGCTTGAACCTGGGAGGTGGAGGTTGCAGCGAGCCAAGATCATGCCACTGCACTCCAGCCTGGCAACAAGGGCGAGATTCTGTCTCCAAAAAAAAAAAAAAAACAACCATTATTATTTCACATGTGCTTTATATCTTATGTTTTGATTTATTTTTAATCAGCAGGGGTTTGTAATTTCAGCTTTTAGTTACTCCTGCTGTTAAGTATTGAATGGACAAACACTACTTAATACAGCGTTACACTTCTTTTGAAATGTGAGGAACTCTTTTATTTATCTGTGTGCAAATAACATGTTCCAACACTACTGTTAAGTATTCTGTTAAAGTACAAATCTATCCCTTAGGAGGGGAGGGTACACTCTACAAGAAGTTTTCTCCCCCAATCTCTATGGGGTGGTTATTTTTGTAATCCTGTTTATGGATGAAGCAGGGGAAACACAGTCATCTCTAGGGCAATGATAAGAGCTAACGTGTGTTGAGGGTTTACCATGCGCCTGACAGTATGGGCACTCTGTATCCTCTACCTCCATCCTCACAGAGATCCCGTGAGGAGGAGGGTCCAGTTACTGCCATTTTACAGAAGAGTAAACAGGTTCAGGGAGATTCAGTATTGAGGCCCCAAGCCTGGAAGTTATCCTCCATTTCTCTTTTCCTCTTAGGCCCCTCCTCCAATTTATTAACAAGTTCTGTCAGCTATAACTCCAAAATATATTTTTAAAATATGACCTTTTTTCCTACCCTAGCTCAAGACCTCATTATCTTTCTTGCTTGGATGTCGCATCAGCCTCCAAACTGTCCCCTGGGGCCACTCTTACCCTTAGTACCATCTTCCTTCCACACAATGGGCAGGGTGGGGTTTTTTGTTGTTGTTTGTTTGTTTTTTGAGACAGGGTCTAACTCTGTTGCCCAGGCTGGAGTGCAGTGGTGTGGTCATAGGTCACTGCAGCTTCAATCTCCTGGGCTCAAGTGGTCCTCTTACTTTAGCCTTTCAAGCAGCTTAGGCTACAGGTGCACACCACCACACCTAGCTAATTTTAAATTTTTTGTAGAGATGCAGTCCCGCTATGTTTCCTAGGCTGGTTTTTTGTTTTGTTTTGTTTTTTTTCTGAGATGGAGTCTTGCTCTTTTGCCTAGGCTGGAGTGCAGTGGCGTGATCTTGGCTCACTGCAACCTCCACCTCCCAGGTTCAAGCGATTCTCCTGCCTCAGCCTCCTGAGTAGCTGGGACTATAGGCGCCCTCCACTATGCCCAGCTAATTTCTGTATTTTTAGTAGAGACGGGGTTTCACCATGTTGCCCAGGCTGGTCTCAAATTTCTGACCTCAGGCGATCTACCCACCTTGGCCTCCCAAAGTGCTGGGATCACAGGTGTGAGTCACCATGCATGGCTGCTAGGCTGGCCTATAGTGGTCCTCCTGCCTCAGTCTCCCATAGTGTTGAGATTATAGGCATGAGCCACCACTCCTAGCCGAGTGATCTTTCTAAACTGTATATCAGATGATGTGCTCTCCAATAGCTTCTCTTCATATTTAAAATAAAACCCAAAGTCTTTTCCAGGACTTACAAGGCCTTACATGATCTGGCTCCCCATTGCTGCATGCAAACTCTTCATTCATTCATTCAACTAATATTTACTGAGGTCCTGCCATGTGCCAGACACTCATAGCTGCTAGCATATTGCTTCTGTACAGAGCTCACATTCTAGTGGGAAGAGACAGTAATCAAAGAAACACAAAGTATGTCAGGTGGCGATAAGTGGCATGGAGAAATATGAAGTAGGAAAGGAGACCAGGGAGTGCTGTGAGGCAGTGAGAGGCCACCATTTGTAATAGGATGGCCAGGAAGACTTTCCTGCGAAGGTGACATCTGAGCAGAACACCTGAAGGAGAGGAAGGAGTGAGCCAAGTAGACTTTGGAGGAAGAACATTCTAG